ACCTGTACACCGTGTATCCACAGTGAGGGGACCTGTACACAGTGTATCCATAGTGAGAGGACCTGTACACCATGTATCCACAGTGAGGGGACCTGTACACCCTGTACCCATAGTGAGGGGACCTGTACACCGTGTATCCATAGTGAGGGGACCTGTACACCGTGTATCCATAGTGAGAGGACCTGTACACCCTGTATCCATAGTGAGGGGACCTGTACACCGTGTATCCACAGTGAGGGGACCTGTACACCGTGTATCCACAGTGAGAGGACCTGTACACCGTGTATCCATAGTGAGAGGACCTGTACACTGTGTATCCATAGTGAGGGGACCTGTACACCGTGTATCCATAGTGAGAGGACCTGTACACTGTGTATCCATAGTGAGGGGACCTGTACACTGTGTACCTGAAGTCCCTGCACACCTGTAACACTGGAGGCATTATTTAGCTTGTGGCTTCATTTACGAGGAGAAACTGAAGCTGAGAGATTAGGTAACTCGTTCAAGGCCAGGCATAGGACTGCCCTAAGCAGGAGACTCGGTAAAGGATGGCGGGTGAGGGGTCTAAGTCACTTCCTCCACCCTTTACAGTGGCCATGATCTGCTGAGCATCCCAAAGGAGGAGAAGCAGAGGGTGGGAGGCGGCGGGGAGAAAAGAACAAATTTGCCAGGAATGGCAGCTCCCACCTGGGAGGATAATGCAGGAGACTGGTGGCTTTAAGGCCAGCCTGGGCTACACAGCCCATCTCAAAGAACTTGCCTGGCCAAAAATGTCCGCCTAGATAATCTTCTCTATTTCTTCTATCTCTAAGGTCTGTAATCCCCAACATCTCTAAAGCAAATCTTCTTTCTACCACACCACAAAACAGCTTCGAAATCCAACTCTTGGCAAAAGAAAGCCAAAAACAATAGACCACTATTCCAGACGTCTACATTGCTGACACCTCGGAATGTGCCGTGAAAATTATTCCAAGTGGGTTTGTTTCACTTGAACTGACACTCTGGCCAAAAGATGCAAAAGGATCTTAAAAATCCCACCAAAGGTGCCCTCACCAAATCCCCACCCCCATCCCGTCGTGCCCTTCTCCCCAACCGCCTCCCCCTCCCCCGGAAAGAATCGATATTAAATCCCGAGTCTCCTCTGATAGCTTCAGGTGCATACGGCTCACCGCCCCTTTACTCCAGGTTAAACAGTTGACCTCAGGGAAGAAGCAGAAAGCAACAGACAGGACAATGGATTCCCGACCCTGGGTCAAAACCAGTCTTGGGTCAGGCGACTGACTTCCTTGCACCCGAGTCTCGCCTTTGCAATCCACAACATATTGGACGCGAACCCTCCTCTGGAGGCTATGGGAGATTCAGGGACAGTATCAATACCTGACACTGGTGCAGTCTGGCTCCTCTCTCCGTTCCTCCCCGCTTCCTGGAGGAGCCAAGCTCATTCTCCTCTATTCACCTGGCCACAAGTACTCCTCTCCTCCTCGCAGAGGGCCGTGGATAGCCAGACCGCCACCCCCACTCCAAACAGAGCATTTCACCCTACTCCATCCTGCACAAAGAAAACCGGCTCAGCCTCCTGACCCAGCCGCCTGCGCCGAAGCCTGTCCAGGGCAGCGCGGCAGCTGGCTGGGCTGCCACTATCCTTCCTAGGGTGAATGACAACACCTAACGGTGTTTGGAGTTACGTCTTCCGACTGACGCCCTTGGACCTTGCGGCGACCCAGAGCACTTCCGATGCACACTCCTGGCTCAACCATCTCCCGGTGTGAAAACAGCTTTCCCGGGCAGGGGCAAGGGAAGCAAGAGTTAGGAAGTTTGGGACTCGCCTTCTCCGCGGGAGGGAGCCGCGCGGCAGAGGTAGGGTGCGGGGACCGAGCGTCCCCGGGTGGCGGCGCAGGCTGGGGCGCGCACTCACCGTCCGTGCTCCTCTTCGCCTCGTGGTAGCGCTCCCACAGGTAGCGTTTCATGTCCACGGCGGCCGGGGCAGTGCACAGGCGCCGAGC